GAGAGAGAGAGAGAGAGAGAGAGAGAGAGAGAGAGAGAGAGAGAGAGAGTGTTAAATGCACAGATATGTGATGTTCGTAATAACCGAGGAACTGCAATGTGATGAAAAGGACTGAATGGACAATGTAGTGCGAGTAGAATCTTGACAGACAATGTGCATTCTCATACATACAAAAGGTGCTGAAAAGCGCAGGGAAGACTTAGATACAAAGACTGACCTGACAGGGACTGACCTCACTCACGTAGGTACAAAGTAGCGAAGCAGAATGCTAGAATACTAATAACTAGTCCAATCGATGTTTGAACTCAGACCAAACATGCATCATACCCATCACCAGGTGTGAAGGAGCCTGGYGCTGTACACAGGAAGAAAGCGCCARGTCCAGACATAYRCAGACGAAGAGGAAGGGATCAGACGAAAGGAGGGAGAGAGATGGGAATGTCGTCAACACCAAGCCTTTGTCACCAATCCCAAATAATCCCTCGTTGCCATGCCTGAAGTCCCAAAGTCGAGTCTGGATCCGAATGTCACCAAGCTCTGTCGCTCTTCTCTCGTAGTCTGCAGATGCAGGGAAGTCAGAAGTTGAGAGGGAGAGAAGAAGATGGTGGACTGAGAAGAGGAAGAAGAAAAACTCTCTCTCTCTCACTGTTATGAACCAGATACTAACCTGTGATGTTGGCGCTGTGCTGCAGGTACCTCGAAGACGAAGCTGGAGCAACGGCGCTGCAGGTAGGTACCTCTGGCCTCCGCCCAAGCTCTCTCTCTCTCTCTAGTACTACCTAGCTATGGCGCCCAGCGCTGGAGACTACAGCTACCTACTGCGCCCAGCGCTGAAGACTACAAGCTAACGCTACTACTACTACACTGCAGCGCTCCCTCCAGAGTGCTGCTCCCGAATCCTGAAGACTACAACTGACCGACTGCCTACCTCGGAAGTGCCTGGGAAGTCCTATGTACTACCTCGGCCTGCCTCCTGACTACTGGAGGGCGAGTCAGGCTGAGGAGGCAGCTCTTGCCAATGCCGAAGTGTGCCAGGGGCTGGCATGCAGCAGCCTGCTGAGGCTGGTGTGGGAAACAGACTAATAATAGTCTGTTCTCGAAACCCTGGTTCGGTGCCTGAGTTTCAAGGCCGGTCGTTCTAATGAACGACCGAAAATGGCCCTTCGTTTCAGGCTAAAAAGGCTGTTGCCATTTTTAGTCTGAAACGACACAGGGATAGGCCCTGGAATTCAGGCTTTCGGGCTGAACCGACATGGGCCCTGTAAGCCCTGGATTTCAGGCTTTCGGCCTGAAATTCAGGCTTTCGGCCTGAAGTTCAGGCTTTTGGCCTGAAGGACGCAGGCCTGCAAAATGGCCTGCGTGTGCACGCGCAGCATGTAACCCCCCCCCTCCTTATGAAGTCAAGCCGGGGCGAGGGCGAAGTCGTCGATCTGAAGGTGGAACCTGGACGCGGGCGCGGCGTGGAGCCGAAGAAACCGGCTTGCCTTGCATCTTGCGTTCGTAGGGTGCGAGAACGTCTGGAGCTGTTGCTTGAAGTTCCCAGGGGTTAACCATCGGTCAGCTCGGTGTGTGCAGTATGCAAAATGCACCAAATACTCAGTTGGCTTGTTGCCATAGCGTCGCTGGGAGCCATCCATAGAAGGCGGGTCTTGCGTACGTCTCCCGGGAAAATCATCATGGTCCGCAGGCGTGTAGAGAGCCAATTTGGAGCAATGAAAGACTGGGTAGACGGGCAAGTGGCTAGGCACCTGAATCGTGAAGGAGGGTCCTTCGGGTGCGTCCCCAGCGGGYTCTATGATCGGCCAAGGCCCCATCCATTTCGGAAGGAGCTTGCGAGAGAYGTCTTGTTCAAGGCTGAATTCCGCGGCGGAAACCCAGACGAGGTCCCCGACGCGGAATGGACAAGGAAGACGTTGGTGATTGGTCTGCTGGCTCATGCGCTGCTGCGTCTTAGCCATCTGGTCATGTGCCTTGACAAGAAGCTCTTGCATCCGACGCAAGAAAAGAAGATGGTCGTCGCTCTCGGTCGTGCGTGGAGTAATAGTGTCCAACTGTGATGTGACCGGCGAGCCATGCTCGAACTCGAAGGGCGGATGGATGGAAGAGTTGTAGGCCAACTCGACGTCCGGCAGTCGCTCAACCCAGTCTTTCTGGTCAGGGCGGATGAGAGTGCGAAGGGGAACCTGTGCGGTATGATGCGCCCTCTCCGTCTGGCCATCGGTCTGAGGGTGGCGAGCTGAACTGGGCTTGAGAGATGAGCCCCATCGTTTGATGAGCGCCAACCAAAAATCGGACATGAACCGAGTGTCGCAGTCGCAGACGATCTCCTTGGGGTAACCCTTGGTTCGAATCCAACCGGCGTACAAAACCTCGGCCAACTCCAGTGCCTTGGCATGATAGCGACAAGGCAAAAACATGTCGAACTTGGTGAGTCGGTCTACCACCGTGAGAATCTCATCCACTCCGGTCTTGTGCTTGGGGAACGGGCCGGTAATGTCCATGGCAATCGCTTCCCTTTGCCGCAACGGGACTGGCAATGGTCGTARCTCGCCGTACGGACGATGGTTGCGGGATTTGCAGCGTCGGCAAACCTCGCATGACTCGCAATAGCGCGTGACGTCGCCGAGAAGGCCGGGCCACAAAAATCGCTGGCGAAGTCGGCCAATCGTGCGATTGACTCCGAAGTGTCCAGTGGCGGGAGTGTCGTGGAACTCGCCAAGAAGCCATGTACGCAAGTGAGAATCACTCGGTACGCAAAGAAGGTCCTTCCCCCGCGTGTGGACAAGCAAGTACCCCTCTTGGATCCGGTAATGAGAAGGAGCCGGATCAGGAGAGGAGCAATTCGCGTACTTGTCGCGAAACTCGTCGTCGATCTCGAAGGTTGAGTAGACCGCGGTACAATGATCCGGACGCCGTGAAAGAGCATCCGCAAAACGTTTCGACTTCCCGGGAATGTGATCGGGAAAGAAGTCGAACTGGTCGATGAAAGCCATCCATCGAGCGATGGTGCTGTTGACGGTGTTTTGGGTCTTGTAGAAGACCAACGGATTGTTGTCCGTTACCCAGCAAAATTGGCTTCGACCAAGGAGGAAGTGCCGCCACCGCTTGAGCGCGTGGACGAAGGCGAGGAGCTCCTTCTTGCGTGCATCGTCAATGGAATGCACGAGGGGCACTTTCTTGCTGAAGTACTCGACCGGGTGCCAGTCCACACCATCATGTTGCTCGAGGACTGCACCAATGCCATAGCCTGACGCATCCGTAGTGACGCGTGTAGGCGCGAGCGGGTCGTATATCCACAAGACCTCCACAGACAATAGCGCGGCTTTGAGAGCGAAGAATGATCCCGCGCCTCCTCTCCGAAGTCAAACGGCCGATCCTCGCACTGAAGCTTGTTCAAGTGGGCCGCGATCTTCGAGTAGCCTTTGATGAAGCGCTGATATTAGCCGGTAAGACCGAGGAATGAGCGGGCATCCGTGACGTTCCAAGGCTCCGGCCACTCCTGAACGGCCTGAATCTTGTCCGATAGCGGACTGATGCCCTCCGGTGTGACAAAATGGCCCAAGTATTCCAGCTCTTGCCGGAAAAATTCACACTTGTCGCGGTTGGCCTTGTACTTGGCGCGGCGGAGCGTCTCCAACACTCGTCGAAGATGCCCAAGATGATCCTCCAATGACCGGCTATAGACGAGAATATCGTCTAAGTAGACCAGCACGAACCGGTCCAACATTGCACGAAACTCATTGGTCATCACCGCCTGAAAGGTCGCCGGGGCGTTGGTGAGGCCAAAAGGCATGACCACCCACTCAAAATGCTAGTACCGCGTCTTGAATGTGGTCTTGTAGCGATCGTTCGGCTGGATCGAGATTTGATGATATCCCGATTTCAAATCCAACTTTGAAAAATACTTTGCGCCGCCCAGTCTCTCAAGAAGATCATCGATGCGAGGAAGAGGCCCCGCATTCTTGACGGTTTGCGCGTTGAGCTTGGGGTAGTCGATACACAATCGTAGATCCTTGTTCTTCTTCCTGACGGAAAGAACTGGTGCTCCGTATGGGGAGCTGCTCGAGCGGATCCAACCCTTGGCCAACAAATCGTCGAGTTGTGCGCGGAGGACCTCAAGCTCCTCCTCGCTCATCCGATAGATGCAACCTTTCGGCGGCACAGCACCGGCCTCAAGAATGATCTCGTGAGAGATCGGCCGATCCAGCACCACACCGGTAGGTGACTCGAAGATGTCGGCGAACTCGTCCAGCAACCGCACCACATGGGGGTCCGAAGACAAGTCCGTGGGTGAAGAGTCGGCTACCGCGACGGTCCGTAGGAAACATAGGCCGATCTCCTCGGGCTGCTCGTAAGCGCAAGTCGCCCGGAATGATTTGGCCGTCACCACTTGGCACCGGATCGAAGAGTGCGGTAGAGGAATGGTACACACCACTTCCGCGCCGAAGGCGTCGCGAACGCTAAGAGTTCGCCGATGGAAGTTGACCGTGTGATCCGCACTTGCAAGCCAAGGCATTCCCAGAATGATGTCGAAGTCCGTGTCGAGAATATCGATTGTTACCGGTTCGCATGCATGGGGTGCGAGTAGTAGACCGGTAAGGCCTCGATGTAACGGTCGAGAAGTTGTTGCGTCTTTCCATCCGCCAACTTGATCATCGTCGGGTTTGCCTTCCTCCGAACTTGTGCGCCAAGGCCAGCCCTTTGCATAAAGGATTGGCTCATGAAGTTGCGAGACGCGCCGCTATCCAGCAAAGCGCTGCAGGACGCTTGCCCAACCTGAATGCGGACATACATGAGCGGTGCGTTGTTGTCATCGTACCGCTACGTGCGAAACTCGCGGGCCACCTTGGTAGTATACGCCAGGATGTCCCCCACCGCGACTTCGTCATCCGTCAGCGAAGTTGGTGGTGCATAAAAGGATAAGTAAGTGTGAAGATTGGCGCTAAGTGTTGCGCATTGCGGTCCCGGTAAGCGGCCTGTGGTCAGGAGAGACGTGAGCGGGTCCAATGCCTCTATGTTGAACTCGCGCGCCGAATCCCGTGATGAACCACTTGAAGACGATATGTCGCTGTTGCCGGACGGAGAAGAAACCGCACACACTCCTTGTCCTTGAGCTTGAGTACCCAGCGTAGGAACGAGCCGGGCAGCGTAGTCCTCAAAAGAAAGTAGAAGAGGAGGACTATCGACTTCCGCGTGCGCCTCGGAATGAAGGCCGGTTACTCGCGAAGAAACCGGTTCCGAAGGCGTCGAGAGTGTCGTCGAGTCACTCTCGGCGGTGCTCAGTTTCCCTGTCTGCCCTTGCCTTTCAATGGGCAACCTTGCGTCTGATGAAGATCGTTGTTGCACCAAAGGCAATAGTGGAATCTCTCGCGCGCCTTGAATGCGGACTCGGAGATGCCAAATTGGGTCCATGGGCCTGTCTGAGCTGCTGCACTGGGCCCGGGGCTAGATGCGGTGTGTGTCTTCGTCTTGCCGCGTCCTCGGCCTCTGCCAGGGCGGCCACCTTCCCGGGCGGCTGCGAATCTGTCCCCTTCACTGGCAGACACAGCCTCGCTGATTTGGTCCAACGGCGTTGCCGTTGCGACCACGGCCACTCTTGGCCGATGCTGGTGTCCCTGCTCGGGCCTGACGCAGATGAACGGAGGTTCTTGGCCTCCTTGTTCGTGATAATGATCTGCGCAGCCTTGTCGAACAACTCCGCCGTCGTCGTCAAGGTGTCCTCGACATGAGTCAGGGCATTGCTTAATGTCGGACATGACCTTGAGATGAAGTAATGGCGGATGGCCTTGAAGCCCATCTGGATGTCTGGGACAGACGTCAAGCGTTGGTACTCGGCGATCCAGTCCGTACTCGGCAGCGTGCCTTGTTCGAAGACCACGAGCTTGTCCATGGCTTTGATCTCTGGCGGCTCCACCTGGAACCGCTTGTGCCACGCCGCCTTCAGATCATCCCAACTGATCTTGGTGTGCAAGTCGGCCGCTACCACTCCGTACTTGGACAGGAGGTTGTCCAACCAAGCCTGGCACGCGCCCCCTGAACGAGAGTACAAGTATGCGTGGTGCTTGTGTTCTTTGACGTTGGACAGCTGCAGCGTGAGCTCGAACTTGCGGAACCATGGAATCGGATCTGTCTTCATCGAGTCGCAGAAGATCTCCTGCCCGTCAAACTTTGGAGTTGTCTCGCGCGGCTCCGTACTCGAGGTATTGGCGGTGGTATAGACCCGCTGCTGCAACTGTTGCGTCGCGGTGTGCTGTAACTGTGCGCCGTCCTGGAGGGAGCCGACGTGCATCTCCAGGCGGTCGGCAGTATTGGAAGAGCTTGCGTCGGCGGCGGCGACTGGTCGCTACTCCAACCGCTGAAGGCGGTCTTGGACGTGAGCCAGCGAGCTGTCGAGACCAAGGATCTCCGCCTGCTGTGTAAAGCAGGTTGCCAGGAGATCCGTGAGATGCGAGAGGAGGAGCGCTATCTTGTTTGCGCTATCCTCCAACTGGCTATTCTCGGCCTCGGTCCGCCATTCGACTGCCATGGTAAGTAATGCCCACTCTCCGGTAATATCTTCTCACGATGCTGGGTTCTTTCTTCATCGGCAGCTCTTGCTGCTGCCTCGTCATGTTGGCGCTGCTGTTCAAGTGCCAGCAGACGTGCCTGCTCGGCATCTTCTGCCTTCTTCTTCGCTGCTGCTGCAGCGTCATCTGCCTGTTTCTTTGTCTCGGTACTCTAGGCCAGCATGCGGGCCTGATAGGCCTCGTCTGCTTCCCCGGGCCTCTGGTCCATGACTGCTGTTTGAGATCGCAACAGCATAGACCGGAGCGGGGGCCTGTTGATGTGGTATCTCTTGCTGCTGACGTGGCACAGCTGACGTGGCCTGCTGACGTAGCCTGCTGACGTGACCTGCTGACGTACTGACGTAGTCTGCTGACGTGGCCTGCTGACGTGGCAACTCACCAATGCCGCCGCAGGGGGTACCCGGATACAAACAGAAACGGAAAGGCAAGAGATGGCAACAACATAGGTGGGGAGGGGTGGGTGGGAGCCCAACTCACACTTAGATAAGGAGCCACTAATCAAAACAGAAAAGTTCGAACTTTGCAAAAAAAAATTCGAGAAAAATAAAAATCCTGATTTTTTGCAAGTTCGGTAGGTCCGCCAACCTCCCTTGAAGTGCGAACTGATCACTGAAAGAGAAAAAATTTTGACTTTAGACTGCCAATGATTTATAGACTGAACGACAGAATCCCAGAACTGCGAAAGAAAAATTTCGAACAGAAATGACCAGTATTCAGATTTATTCCGATGAGAATATTCGCAGTTTGAAGAATAATACCGTAGGAGGTATTTTCCGTACCGTTTTCAGAAAAACGAATTTCAGAAAAGAAAATATTCCGAATTTCTAAGTAACGGGAAATGCAACAGGAAATCGAAATTTTCGAAAAGAAAAACATTCCGGATTTTCAACAGCGAAATTTCGAATTTTCAGAAAAAAAAACGAAAATGGGAATTTCAGATGTTGCAATATTGCGATTTTCCACAGCAGAATAGCGAGAAAATAAAATCCAAGAAAAGAAAAAAATTTCGATTTTCGGTAGTAAGGTCAAACTCGTGATTTTGGGGTCTAACTATTGTGTTCTAATCAATCAATAAAGACTAACTAGCTAATTAGTCCCCGCACACGTATCAGATCAGGTTGTCCTGATTCACGTGCAAAGCTCCGATACCAACTGTTACATGCACAGATATGTGATGTTCGTAATAACCAAGGAACTGCAATGTGATGAAAAGGACTGAATGGACAATGTAGTGCGAGTAGAATCTCGACAGACAATGTGCATTCTCATACATACAAAAGGTGCTGAAAAGCGCAGGGAAGACTTAGATACAAAGACTGACCTGACAGGGACTGACCTCACTCACGTAGGTACAAAGTAGYGAAGCAGAATGCTAGAATACTAATAACTAGTCCAATCGATGTTTGAACTCAGACCAAACATGCATCATACCCATCACCAGGTGTGAAGGAGCCTGGYGCTGTACACAGGAAGAAAGCGCCARGTCCAGACATAYRCAGACGAAGAGGAAGGGATCAGACGAAAGGAGGGAGAGAGATGGGAATGTCGTCAACACCAAGCCTTTGTCACCAATCCCAAATAATCCCTCGTTGCCATGTCTGAAGTCCCAAAGTCGAGTCTGGACCCGAATGTCACTAAGCTCTGTCGCTCCTCTCGTAGTCTGCAGATGCAAGGAAGTCAGAAGTTGAGAGGGAGAGAAGAAGATGGTGGACTGAGAAGAGGAAGAAGAAAAACTCTCTCTCTCTCACTGTTATGAACCAGATACTAACCTGTGATGTTGGCGCTGTGCTGCAGGTACCTCGAAGACGAAGCTGGAGCAACGGCGCTGCAGGTAGGTACCTCTGGCCTCCGCCCAAGCTCTCTCTCTCTCTCTAGTACTACCTAGCTATGGCGCCCAGCGCT